ACTATCAAGCCATGAAAATTCATGGAGGAACCTTAAATGCATATTACTAAGTAAAGGAAACTAATCTGAAAAGGTTACATACCATATGATTCTAACTACATGATGTTCTAGAAAAGGCAAAACTACAGGGCAGTAAAAAAGATGAATAGTTGCAAGGGGACAGGGGTAGGGAGAGAAGAACAGGCAGAACACAGCAGGTTTTAGGGCAGTGAAACTGCTCTGTATGGGACTATAATGGTAGATACATGTCCTTGTACCTTTGTCTAAACCCACAGAATGTACCACACTAAGAGTGAATCCTAATGTAAACTATGGACTCTGGGTGCTTATGATGTGTCAGTATGGGTCTATCAGTTCTAACGAATGTACCACTCTGGTGAGAGATATTGATAATTCGGGAGGCTAAGCATGTGTGGGGCCAGGGGCCATATGAAAAGTATCTAATGGTATACCTTCTGTTCAGTTTTGTTGTAACCCTAAATATGCCCTCAAATGTCTTTAAACACAAACAGCCCAAGGACACAGGAAAATCACAAGGATGTCTTCATATTCTCTTTCATCACTTGATTTCAATTATTTGTTTTCCAATTAAGAATGAAACTGTCATCCAGAAGATGACAAGTTACAAACCACCTGAAAGTTTCCTCCTAAAGAAAGCAAGTATTTTAGAACCCTCAACTGTCCTCTCCAGTGTACCCCAGCACTTGCAGGGAGCCCCAGACACAGGTGGAATTTATTCCACAAAGGTTTATTAAGCAGCAGCCAAGGGGCATCTCACTACATACTGAAGCTGGCCCCTCGTTAGCATCTTGCCAACCCGGAGGCAGATTTTTCTTAGGTAGCAGTTGCTCGCTCTGACTCAGGGGATCCTGAATGCCAACCTCTGTGACATCAGAAGATTGTAAAGTACTTGCGGAGAGCACAGGAGAGGATGAAGCTAAAGGACACCTGCAGAGGGTGTCCCTGGAGGAGGTGCTAATGCCAGTGCCAGTGCGTCCTCTGGGCCCTGGAGAGCACTACCAGGCCTTCACCTGTGGCCTTGTCACAGCCTCAGCAGTGATCTACTTATTTGTGACCTGAACCCAAATCACCACTTAGACAACTAACTGCTCAAAGGCTGAGCCTAAAACATATGCCCCCAGGAGCCGGGGTCATGCTCACTGAATTGAATTGAAGTTATTATCTTGGAGAAAGAGGGAGCTTGGAACTATTTCTCGAATTTAAAATTTCAGAAATTTTTGCTGAGGTCTGGATATAGGAAGTGGCTGGAACTTAGTGAAGAGATAGGGTTCTCCTTCCTTGAACAGTTTCATGAAAGCAGCTCTGGCCAGGGTCCAGCAGGTGAGAAGCAGGGTGACCTCTGCCCACTCGGGAAGACTCAGATGATTTGATGTTTATTTTTAGATGTTTTGTACAGAACCCCCCCAAAACCTTTGGATATTGGGCTCAGGTCCAAGGTGAGGTGAAAACAATCAGTAACGAAAGCATCAAACCCTCTCTTGCAGAGCCCCTGTTCCTACCCAGGGATCCCTAGTCTCTCAAAAAATGTCATATTTGACCCAAAGAACCTTGTTATTTATAAACAGCTGGAAAGCTGGGCCACCAGCTCGCCTCTCTGACACAACACTTGACACTCACTCTCTGTGTGGCCTCAGACAAGCCCCTTCCCCTCTCCGAGCCTGTTTCCTCATCCATCCAATAGGGTAGGTGTGGAACACACAGACTCAGAGGAATCTCACAGCAAACCCCAGCTCATCCTGGGTGCTCACACTAGTCCTGGGCATGGAGCATGGGAAAAGCCCTTGAAACACAATCTTTAGGAAAATAGCTCATCTGACGTTGGTATTTCCCTTAAAGGCATATTTAGATCCAGCTGCAACAAACATCCATGGAGTACCTACTATGTAGTAAACTATTGCATTAATTGTCTCTTCAGAACCAGCCCAAAAGAAAATTGTCTTTGTCCCCAGATGGCAGGCCTGAGGGTACACTCATCCACAGCATAGGCTATGTGATCACCAAAGCCTGGGTTAATCCTGGCCTCCCGCTTCCTTCCTAAGGGTCCTTGAGCAAATTACTTAAACCCTCCAGGCTTTAGGTTCTCATCTGTAAAATGGAGATAATGCTAGCCCCTACTATCTTCTGGGCTTGTTTCCAGGTTTGAATGCAATGGGCATGTTAAGTACTCGATAACTAGGACCTATTACTACTCAGAAATATTATTATTACTGCTATCATTACCATTTCTACTAAAGATGAGAAAAAATAGACTCAGAGAGGACATGTGAAAGGACATCACTCAAACACCACATGTCCTAAATTTTAATTGAGTCCACGGACAGGCAAGGTGGGTCAGTGCTGAGACACAAACTTGCCATGCAACTCTGGCCAGGCTACTCAACCTCTCAGCCTTTGGATCTCCACCTACCAACAAAACGGAGGCAATATCTCCCCAGTTCATGTGATTCATGTGCTAATGTAGATGAAAAGCCCCGACAGAGTGTGGAGTGAGCAGAAGGCCATGAAGGAATGTTCCCTCCCTTCCCATATGCCGCTTCTGAAATCCCCAAGAATGTGGCCTGCCAGTCCTTACTTGAAACTTTTCCTGTATCAGAATTCTCAGACAAAAATAAAAAATAAAAATAAAAATTCTCTAACACACAGGCTCAATGGCCCAGCCAATGTGGCCCCACGGTGGAACTGAGCTTTCTCCTAAGATCTAAGTGGATCCAAATTTTGCACAGCCCTGTCCTGGGAAGTTCAAGTCTACATGTGCACATGAACAACACACTCACATGCATATACAAAACCTTGTCCAAGCCCTCCCTGTAACCAGGCACAATGCGCCCCCCCCCCCCCCCCCCCGGCCTCGGCATCGACTCCTGAGGATGTGTAATCATAGAAGAAGCAGTAATAATACCAGCCATTACATATCCTCCTTTCTCCTATGGTTCACAGTGCACTTTCCCTGTTAGCTGAGGAGGCAGAGGCTGTATTTTATTCATCTTTAAATACCCACTGAATAATGCTAGGTACAGAGTAGATATTCAGAAACTATTTCTTGAATAAATTTTATTTTTGTAACAAGATTTTTTAAAAACTCACCCTGCTAAGCTCTGGGCATGCATTCTTGCATTTCCTTCTGATAACCACCCCATAAGGCAAGCTCAATTATTAATCCCTGTTTTGCAGAAGAGGATACTGAGGATCAGGAAGTGATGTGCCCTAGGTCACAGCCAGTGAGCAACAGACCTGAGATGTGAATCCTGTATCCAGACCCTGGCTCTGAAGCCCTCCAGTCATTTGCCTCCTCTTTAGCCAGAAGAGGCAGCAAAGAGAGGGACAGGAGTGATGTGTACGTAATCTAAAGAAGTAGATCAAGAAAGCAATGCTTTTTATATTTGAAAAACCAGAAAAATCCTGTACTCCTTAGGCCTCAGCTTCCTGGATTACAGCACAGGGCTTGTTCATATCTCTTCTGTGTCCTCCTAACTTCCCTCTTGTAGGTCCACTCATCTCCAACATTCTAGCACTTTCCTCTTGATCCCACCTACCATTGGGGGAATGAGGGGAACATCTTTTGTAAAAGGGGGAAGAGTTGACAACTTCTTGTTTTGTTTCCAGCTCCTGACCCCAGACAGCTTATAATCAAGTTTATGAGCAACTGTCTACCCAGAAGCAGGCAGGCAAGGAGTGATGTGGTTGGTCAGGGTGACTTAGGTATAAGAAAACTTCATTTTCCTCTTTTCTACAAGAAAAAATGAGTGGCACAAAGGAGGAAAATAATGGCATTGATGCTCAGTCACAGGATCAGGGGCAATAGGGAATGGTAGGAACTATAGCCAACCATGTATCCTTAGGAGGTGGCTGCTGCTATTATAGCTTAGCCACGTTCTGCCATGTAGGCATGCAAGTTCAGTATTGCCAAATCTTTCAACATTCCATGGGATGCCAGAATCCTCTTTCTCCACCCCCCCCCCCACATGAATTTTCCCAGTTTCTAAATGTTAGAAATTATTTCTCTTTAAAAAACAAAAAGTGCCCTGGACTTCACTATGAGCTACACGTTCATAATCTCCATCGATCCTTGCAGCATAGACAGATATGCTCACCAGACGTCCGTGTGTTCCCCTACATTTCCCAGCCTCCTGCCATCAGGTTATAGCCAGCAGCCATGACTGCAGGAGCCACACCCGGGCCAGTTAAGAGCCACTGTCTTCTCCCATTTCTCTTTATTGAGGAGCTGCAACCCTGGGGGCCATATGGTGTAAATGGCACAGCAAAGTAACAAAATGGAAGTGTCTGCCCTTCCCTCCACAGACCCCAGGTAGGTGAGATCTTGGGTGGGTTGGTGGAGGCAGCAGGTATTACCTGCACTAGCACACATCAGGAGCACATGTCTAAATTACAAAAAAACTGCCAAAACCGGTTTGGCTCAGTGGGTTGAGCATCAGCCTGCAGACTGAAAGGTCCCAGGACCGATTCCAGTCAAGGGCATCTACCTTGGTTGCAGGCACATCCCCAGTAAAAGGCGTGCTGGAGGCAGCTGCTTGATGTTTCTCTCTCATCGATGTTTCTAACTCTCTCTCCCTCTCATTTCCTCTCTGTAAAATATCAATAAAATATATTAAAAAATAAAATAAATTACAAAAAACAACCTGGTAATAGTTTAGCACTTCCTGGTTTTCAAAGCACTTTAATGCCCCTTTTCCATGTGCCCCTTTACTGACTCTCAACTCAGTAAGAAGATAGGATAAGGCTTTTTTATTTCACAGATTAGTCAAATGAGGTTCATAAGGTAGAAATGAATAGCCCTGAGCTGTGAGACAAATAAGTGGTGGACTGGGATTCTAGCTCTAGGCTCCTCCTGAGTGGACTCCCTTTCCAGGGTTCCTCCTATCTCCCAACTTAAGAACTAGTCTTTGCAACATGAAATCTCTGGCACTCTCTGGGTAACCTGTGAGCTGTCTGCACTAGCTGCTTGAAGATGCGCCTCTTACCTTTCCTGTGGACTTGGTCCCCTTCCAGATACAGAAGTAGCAGATGGTCCAGGCTGCCAGGAGACACAAGGCCAGCTCCCAGCGGAGATTCCCAATATGCTCAATCCCATCTGAGATGGCCAGGACCCGGCGCCTGCAGAAGAAAAGGCCATGGGTCACAGGGGCTGGAGAAGGCCCGCCCCAACCAAACCTTGAGCAAAGCTAGTACCACAAAGGGGCAGGGATAGCCCACTCATTCCTTCCCCCATCATCCACCATTCACCCAGCATCCTCTGAGCCAAACCCAGAGCTGGAGATGGGGGCCTCAGAGAGGATCAAGACCCAGTCCCCTGCCTTCATAGAGTCACTCTATAGGGGGAAAGAGGGCCCCATTAGCAGATGGTTCACATTGCAACATAGTAAGGATATGATGGGGAAGTGCAAGGCCTTTGGTTAGACCAGTGGTCGGCCAACTCATTAGTCAACAGAGCCAAATATCAACAGTACAACGATTGAAATTTCTTTTGAGAGCAGAAAACTGACTTCTGAGTATGGGCCGCAAAGTTTCAATCACACTGTAGTGTTGAAACAAAAGCCCATGGTATTTTGTGGAAGAGCCACACCCAAGGGGCCAAAGAGCCACATGTGGCTTGTGAGCTGCGGTTTGCCAACCACTGGGTTAGACCAAGACTCCCCTAGCACACCTCAGGGTCCTGGGAGACCACAGGAGTGTCCATAAACTCTCAGGTCCCTCCCTCAGGGGAGATCACACACCCTCGCCTGCTGAACTCACTTTGGCCAATGACATCTGTGTCACTTCAGACAGAAGCTTTCAGAGCCAGGTGGTGTAGTTCACCATGTCCCCTTTCCTCTGCTGTTGATCACGACAGAAGCAAGTGTCAAGATGGAGCCTCTAGAAACCCAAGCTCTTGAGTGATAAATGAACTCCGGTGCTTTAAGTTACTGAGATCTTTGGGATGTTTGTTACTGCAGCATAAATCAACCTATCCTGACTGTTAGAGGGGGCCAGGAAAAGCTTCCTGGAAGAAATGATATTTGAGGCCACTGTAAAAGATGGAATTTAAGGGTAAAGATTGTTTTAGGTTGAGGGAATAGCATGCACAAAGGCCAAAAAATGAATCTGGGATACTTGGGGATTGCTGAAGCACAGCAATCAGAGGGGAAAGCAGGAAAGGTAAACAGAAGCATCATCAAGAGCCTTGAGTAACATGCCAAGGGGAAGGGGTATCCTAAAGGGCCCAGGCTACAGGAGAGAAAGGACCCCTGAGTGCACTGAGCCAATGCCTCCAGCCACACAGTCCCTCAGAACCCATCAATTCTTCAGAGTTGACACAGGTCTGGCTCCCAGAGCCCACGCCTGGGGTTTGTGTTTCCTTAAAGTCAAACTTGCCACGCTCCATATTGTGCTGAACCATGGCACCAACACAAACCCCCTCCAAACTTGCTCCACGAACCCCATCCCGGCTGCCAAACCACCCCCACCCGACCACGCCAGTCGCCTCTGTGCTCTGGGCTTGTCCTTTGAGAAAGCAGCTCCCATCCCACTAAGCATGAAAGCCTTCCTCAGTGTCTGTCTCCCTGGGAATCCGCTCCGGGCCTGATTCTGCATTAATTACTCAATGACACCAATTAGCACTGGTCTGCAGGCTCCTTCCAGCCCCAACCCCCACAGGAGAAATCAGGCAGTCCCCCAAATAAAATCAGGCTGTGTACAGCCATGGACTTGACTCAAAAGAAAGCCAGCTCTCAACCTATAGCCAGAAGTGGGAACATCCACATAAATACGAATTTATTGAGCAACTACTTGTGCCAGGCATTATATGAATAATAAGGTATTGAGGGTAAAATGGTATACATGGCATGGCTCTTGCCCTTGACTATGAAAAGTTAGACACAAAAGAAGTCCAAGTTACTTGAGAAAGAACGGCGACGGCCACATAGTTTTAGCAGACATTACTTTATTTGCATCTTATGTCTTAGCAGTCTCTGGCTTTAATTCATTTTAAAACTACAAGCCTTATTAAACGAAAGCGTACAGAGTATTATTTTAGGAGAGCAGCGAGCCCCAGAGCATAATTCTTGCGGGGTACTTGCCAAAAGACAAAAATTCCTACACTCCATCCCAGATCCACTGAAGTCCGAATATTTGTGGAATGGTCCCTGGGAAACCGCATTTTGCCACATTTCCCCAAGGATTACTGGCAAGGAAAGAAGGACCTACCAACTCCACCTGAATAATTTTCAATCTTTATTTATTTATTTATTTGTTTGTTTTTTGGAAAGGAGGGCTTTGGGGAGGTAGTTAGGGATCCTGTGAGAAGCTTCTTTTGCCCCAAAAATGCCCTGATGTAGCAGCCCCCACTCCCAACATTCTTCAGGAACTTCGGGGGGCTCACTGACCCCCTTGTCTCCAGATTAAGAGCCTTGTAGACAACATATACCCACCATCTTACAAACTGCCCCCCAATATGCCCCGATAGCTCACCAGCTGGTGAATGAGAAGGGAAAACCCAGAGCGGGACAGAAAGTGTGTCACTGCCCAAGGAAAGGACCTGGGTGTGCTCCGTCCCACTCCACTCCAGCCTCTGAATTTCTCATTAAAAAAAAGAAAAAAAGAAAAAAAGAAAAAAAAAGCATGTACACAAGGTCCTCAGCTAGCAGAGATGCATGCACACTCATGCCTTCTTGTTGAGGTAGTTGTTTTCTGAACCAGAAAACTGAAAGCTGGAAACGACAGAGAGAGAGGGAGCAAGAAGGAGCAGACCAGCCAGGAGTGGGCTGGCGCAGGTCCCCTCTCTTCCACATTTTGGATGCTGTGAACTCCGAGTCCTGCAGCCTGCTTTGGCGTCCTCTCGCTTAATTGAACAATCTCATTCCCAGAATGGGAAGCAGATTACTAAAAGCTATGCGGGATGAATTGCTCTCTTGTTTCACCAGACACTATTTGAAAACATCCTCAAACTATTTTCTTTAGGAGTTACCAGCGCTGACTCTAACCAGCCATGGACCTTGGGTTTCTAAAGAAAGCGGGCTCGGGGGCCAGGTTCTCAGCCCGCAGGGCTGTGGGGTTGTTTTGAAACCCACAAGGGCAGCCTTTGAGAGCATGGGGGCTGGGCACTCAGCTCCGGGGACTTGGAGAAGGCACAGCTCTTCCTGGGAAAGAGCTTTCTTAATGACCCGCCCCCACGAAGCACTGGGACAGAAGAAAGGTCTGAATAAGGAAGAGTTTGCTGCCAACACCCTGGCAAAAAAAAAGGACCCAGGACCAGACCTCCCCATACTGGCCAGGGAGAGGGAAATGTTGAACTAGATGGGGCCCTCTGGAGGGATCCGTTTACTCGAACAAGTAATATCGTGCACCTACTCTGAGCCAGGCACACAGATTCTTCAAGAAGCACCTTTTTCAGGCCATAGGAGTAAAATATTTCTGGAGATTTTCACCCAGAGACTGGAATCTCAGTACAATGTCCACGCTTCTCCAGCCACTGGCACATACAGAGATGGGCTCAAATTCCAGCTCTGCTCCTTCCCAGCTGTGTGACTTTGTGTAGGGGACATCACCTCTCTGAGTTTCAGCTTCCTCTGTAAAATGGGAGCGATGATATCTCCCCCTTTTCCAGGTTTTCAAGCATGAATTTTTATAACCCTCTCAACAATCCTTGAGGTAGGTACAACTATTTTCACCATTTCAAAGATGGAAAAACTGAGGTACAGAGAGATTAATAACTTGCTCCAAGTCATACCACAAGCAAGTGTAAGAGCTATAAACTGAACCCAGGGATCCTGACTCCAGAGGCTACACTTTAAACTACAGTGTTACCCCATAGATTCTTCTATAACAGTGGCCAGCAAACTGCGGCTCGTGAGCCACATGCAGCTCTTTGGCTCCTTGAGTGTGGCTCTTCCACAAAATACCACGTGTGGGCGCGCACGTGCAGTGCAATTGAAGGAGCACCCTAATTAAGTTAATAACAATGTATCGGGTCAGTAATAATTAATGTCGTTTTTCAACATTCGTTTAAAATCTTGCTTGGCGTTAACTTGTATTGACATAACCTTCAAACACGTGGTATCTACAGAACGTGTGAAGTGCAATTAACAAGTTTTGCTTGAAAAAGTTTGTGTTTGGTTTGGTTTTTGTTGCAAAACTAGGGCTAAGAAGATGGCGGATGAAGAGCATATTCGGCACTGAATGCTTTACGAGTTCCAATTAGGAAGAAAAGCAAGCGAGGCTGCAAAAAACATCTGTAGTGCTCTTGGTCAAGATGCAGTTAGCGCCAGAAAATGCCAGCGTTGGTTTGAGAAATTTCGCGAGGGAAATTTTTCGTTAGATGACAAGAGTGGTCGAGGCCGTGTGTCCAATTTTGATCAAGAAGCTCTTCAAGCTCTTTTGGTGCAAAATCCTCAAATTACCCAACAAGAGCTTGCGACAACTTTAAATTGTTCACAAAAAACAATTTCCAATCAATTGCGTGCACTTGGCAAAGTCCAAAAGTTTGGAAAATGGGTTCCTCGTGAGTTGACCGACAACAACCGTAATCAAAGAGTCACAATTTGCAGTTCGCTCCTCTCTCTTCAAAACCGTTTGCTGTTTTTAGAGCAAATTGTTACCGGAGATGAAGAATGGGTGCTGTATGTTAATTTGAAAAGGCGGCCTCAATGGTTGGACAAAAATGAGGCTCCGCAGCCCACGCCAAAACCTGACTTGCATGCGAAAAAAGTGATGTTGTGTGTTTGGTGGAATTTTAAAGGAATTCTTCATTATGAACTTTTACCATCTACCCAAACCATTACAAGTGCAGTGTATAGTGCCCAATTGGAAAGGTTAGCCCAAGCTTTAAGAGAAAAAGAACCCGCGCTGATTAATCGAAAGGGCGTAATTCTTCACCACGATAAAGCACGACCGCATACTGCAAGAATCAGTGCTGAAAAACTGCGCCAGTTGGAATGGGAAGTTCTCCCTCAACCTGCATATTCTCTTGATATTGCCCCTTCCGATTACCATTTGTTTCGTTCTTTGCAAAACTTTCTTCTTGGAAAAAAATTTAATAATGAAGAATGCCTCAAAAATGCATTGACCAAATTTTTTTGCATCAAAATCACAAGAATTTTACAACAGAGGGATTAAAATGC